TGTTTGTTAACATTAAATATTTATGTTCATACATGTATTAAATTTTACAAAAAATACTTTTATTGAAAATTGACAACAAACAAATTTAATAATATTTATTGAGTTAAATTTTTATAAATTCAACTTATTTATTAACATTTTTGCTTTTATGTTTGTTTAACAAAATTTACAAATATTTTTTATTATTAACTATTAAAATAAGTGAAAACTTATAAAATTTATTCATTTTTAATATTAGTAATTTATTAACAAAGAAAATAAAAATTAAAAATTTAATTTCAAAAACATTACAAATTAAAAATACATTATTCTTAATTATGTTATTTGTTTTTTGTGGTTTAAAAAAAAAGATATTATCTATTATTCATAAATTGTAAAAATGATAAATGTTTGACACATATAACAAAAATATCACAGACGAAAGTATTTCTCACTCTCACATTTTCCACTATCTCCCAATCCTCCCAATTCCTCATTCACAACGGATAACAGAAGATTTGTGATTTCCCTGGTTCCTCTAAACCTCTCAGATACCATTTAGGGACAAACAAAAAAAAAAAAACATAGTAGAAACACTCTTACGTTTAGCTATGATGTAAATGACGAATGTACCCCTTGTGAACAAACGAAATTACATAATAGAATTTTAGACAAAACAGGTGTTTGTGTTGTGTTCTCTCTCTCCCGTTCACGTTCTGCAACATCGGAACCACGTACGGCTCCTAAGACTCCGTTCGCTTTTTAACACAGAAACACTCTCTTATAACAAATTACAATTATAACCAAAAGATCAAAAACAACACAAGAGACAAAACAAAAAGTTATTCTCTTTCGTGAAAAAGATTCACATTTTGACTTTTTCTATTTCCCAGTGCTCAGATCCGATTTCTCGCCGCGAAATTCGTCAGTGCAGCTTCTCTTCTTCTTCTTGGCTTATTCTATTCGATCGGATAATCCTGGAACAATGAAGCGTATGATCGTAGGTACGGAAAGATTATTTTTAATTGTTTTTCAGGAAATTGGGTTTTCTTTTCTCTGATCGATTCAATTTCATCATTGTGTTATGTCTCTTGAAAATCTACTAGGAGCTTAAAAAAGAAATAGCAATGGTGTTGACAGATTTGTTTCTTTTATGAGGACCCACACTGCAGATTTTGTTTCTTTGATTTCGAACAAGAATTGGAAATTTATTTATCAGAATATTGTGTATATATATATATAGCTTGCTGATTGTGAAGAACAGAGCAAAGGAATGTAGTATCGAATTGTTTAAGGTAATGATGATTCCTAAGTGAGAAACAACAAAAAAAATGTCAGAAAGATGACAAAGTTGAAGATTTTTTTTTTTTTTCCATTTTTGGTGGGTCCTTTCAAGATGATGATTTCAATTCTTGGATTTGCTCATATTTGGTTGCCTTAGAAATGTTTTGAGCAAAGGGAATTGCGTTGACTAAACTCAAATGAGAGTGTTAGATTTTTCGGTTTGATTACTGTGGAATGAGTTTATGTATTGTTCCAAGTGATGCAGTTGCTAGTTATGGTGGATTGATGTTTCAAGTATTGGAAGGAT